TGTCACGTTGAGATAGGATTCCTGCTGAAACATAGTCGGATGCATCGGTTTCTATCACAATTTTTCGATCTGGATTGAAATGAGTTAGTATTGGTGCCGTTGTAAACATTTTTTTTAAAGTTTGAAATGCTTCCTCCCTTTCATCCGTCCATTCAAATTTAACGTTTTTCTTCGTTAAAGCTGTAAGCGGAGCAACAATTTTTGAATATCCGAGAATAAATCGTCGATAAAAATTTGCAAATCCTAAAAATACTTGAACATCACGAAGGTTTGTCGGTGTGGTCCATTCCAAAACATCGACGACTTTCTTTGGGTCCATTCTATTCCCATCCGGAGTGAGGATTAGACCAAGGTATTTTGTTTCTTGAACTATAAATTCACATTTTTCAGGTTTAAGGTGAACATGATTCTTATCAAGTACCTTTAGAACCTTTTGAATATGTTCTTTATGTTCTGATAGGGTCTCGGAATAGATAAGGATATCGTCTAAGTGTGCGGTTACGAATTGATCGAGGTAGGGACGTAGAATATCATTGATCCAATGCTGAAATGTGGCAGGGGCATTAGCTAATCCAAACGGCATTACTGTATATTTGAAATGTCCATATCGAGTCCGGAATGCTGTTTTCCATTCATCTCCCTCCGCTATCCTGATTTGATTATATCCCCATCGTAAATCCAACTTAGTATTGTATTGTGCTCTTGACAACTTAGCCAGGGTTTCTTTCAACAATGGTAATGGATATCGATTTTTGATTGTAATCGCATTTAGGCCTCGATAGTCAACACAGAGTCGAAGGGTTCCATCGCTTTTCTTCACAAACAGTATGAGTGCTCCCGCTGGTGATTCGCTGGCTCGAATAAATCCTTTGGGTAAATTTTCATCAAGATATTCTCGTAGTGCTTTTAATTCAATTTGAGATAATCCATATATAGGTCCATATGGTGGTCGTTTGCCTTCTTACAGTACTATCTCGATGTCATGGGATGGTCCATGTGGTGGGAGAATTGAAGCATCGTATTCTTTAAACATATGGAGACGATGGTGAAACTCTTTCGGTACTAGTTGTTCAATGTCGACAGTGGACTTTTCAGTTGCTGAAACGATGACCGTATGGTGTTCTGGTAAGGGGATTGAGATACCGTGAACAATTACTGCAGTTCCACTGAGTGAACAGTGTTGACAACAGCTTCGAGAGTCGAAAACAAGTAGATTTTCCTTTGGTCGAATCGTAACATCATGTCGTCGCATCCAAGGTATCCCCATCACAATCGGATAGTGTCCTAGCTTTGTCACAAAACATGGCGCCGTCACCCGATGACCATGAATGTCTAGCGAGACATCGACAATATGGGTAATTTTTCCTGACTTGATAGGCCTTCCATCTATAACGTCTACATGGCGGGGTATTTTGAGGGGGGTCATTGTAAGATTGTTGTGGCGTGCAAAAGATTCATCAATAAAAGCATATCCTGATGCTCCGGTATCAATAAGGGCGTAGGTAGGTATGAAAGAATTTTTATTCTATGAAAGCGAACAAGTTACTACAAGTTGATTTCCATCCATTTCCTCCTCTGATACCGAAAAACCAGAAATACACATCCTAGAAAAATCCTTAAATGGTCCCTGGGCTAAGCCACTTAGTGCAGGGACAAATCTTTTGCCGACTCGTTATCACTTCGGCCATTTTCTTCCACCGTCAACGCCGTTCCTCTCATCACAGGCCTCCTTGGTTGGTTCCCCGTTGACCTCGCTTGGGGGCAATCCCTAACCATATGTCGAACACCTCCGCAATAGAAACATCGGCCCTCAACTAAGCGGGCGTTTCTTTTGGCAGGGGTAGGGCGACGACGTCCTCCAGACAGATCCATGGGTACATCACCTGAGGGACGGAACGAGGGGTGATTCTCAGTGGCAGGTGGGTTGGCAGGAGGGGCAGCAGGACGGGGAGCAGGAACAGGATTTGTTGGTGGGGGACGCGGAGCTGGGGTCGCAGTAGTAGTCCAAGGTTTTTTACTACCTCGCTTAGCTTCCGCCGCCCGTCGTCGGTTATCCAACCGTTGCAAGAGTGTTGCACAACCATCTACCGTTGCAGGAGTCTCATGGTATATCATCGATTCGTCCAGTTCCCCATTAATTCCTTCCATCAAAGCCTCAATCCGAGAGACTTCATCCATACCCGACTCAGCAGCATACCGTTGAAACTCAGCGAAATAATCGGCAAAGGTTCGAGTACGTTGTCTGATGTTCCGAAGATTCCTTCTAGCTGTACGCATTCGATCGGGGTCTCCAAAAGCTGTATCCAGAATCTCATAAAACCGTGTAATAGAGGGTAAGGCAATACCTTCTTCTCCCATATACTGTAAGAACTGATTGGCAGCAGCGCCTTCCAATCTGCTGAACGCGTATGATAGTTTAGACTGTAGTGTGGGATAGCGATCGATGTTTCCTAGTAGCTTAATTTTCATTTGTTGTTTGAATAAGTGTAACCGTTCTCGATCACGATCCCCTCTGAATACGTCGGGGTCTGGGAGTTTCTCCGACCGATAGGTGGTACCTGTAACTGGTGGTGCTGGGGGTACAGGTGGAGCATTGTTTCCAATAGGTTCTTCGTCAGGGGCCACAACCTCAACAGCAGTTCGTTGAGCTCGGGCAGCAGTAAGATCTCGCTCAAACATTCTTCTTGCCCTCTCAGCCTCCGCTTCTACCTCCTGTAAGTCCGTTGCATATTGAGTAAGACCATTTTGACACTGTTGAAGAAGCGCATAGGCTTCAGCTCCGACAACGTTGTCGACTTGTGGATGCGCTTGAAAAAATGTTTGGAGGTTATCATTGAGTTGTTGATAATCGACATGGACATGTTCCGACATTGTAGACTATGGTGTTGTATTGGTTGGCGATAAAGGACGTAACCTACGTATCACGGGGACTATAGGCGATAGACTGTGGTGCCAAGGAATACAACCTAGGTAGTGACGTAGACGTGGACGTAGACGTAAAGGTATGCTTTGACTATGGACTATGGGGTAGCTCTACCTGGTATGATAAACCGGTTGGAGCCCTATGACGTAGTACGGACAAAGAATAGTATTAGTGGAATAAATACAGAGGTTACGTAAAGAGGAAAGGAAAGGAAAGAAAACAGAAGAAAGCCGAAACAACGCCCCTTTATATATCCAGACCTCAACCCACGATGACTCATCTTTTCGCATAACAGAAACAGAAAGAACATAAAAGAAACTCGCTTAATAAATCCCACATACACTGCACAATCCTTCCTTTACATACTCTAACACTTCGCATAACCGAAACGTATGGCTGCCATTACATTCGTACTTGAAACCAAATTTGACACCCCCATATTCACCGTAATCGCATTCAAGTAGGAGATGAAAGACACCCTTCTGGAACTCCGAGTCCCCGCTACCGATATCCGAGTTAACTCTAAATAGCCTAAATTTATCCTACATGGCATTCCCACCACCATTGGAGATGGACAGGAAGCAGTACAATTTATTGCATTTGAAATTCGATCAAACTATGGAAATAAATTTGAACTCGCCCAAATCTTCAGATGGTCATCTGCAATAATGATAACTCTAATATGTACGAATACATTTTGGTGTACTGTCTAAACTCACGAATCTAACAGAAAATAAATATTTTATAGATTCCATCATAGAACATAATTTAGTTAAATTTCAAAACTCATTAAAGAAGATAATTGCCTTTATATTTCAAATATTCTCCTGGAATTACAATTAATGAGACTGAAATTATCAGAAATCAAATCTCGATTGGCAATTATATGTTCCGTTTAATTGCTGAAGTAATTAGGAAAGAATTTTAGTAGCAGGAATTTCATACCTTCAATGTTGAAGCCCCGTAAAGTAGTAATTATTCTTTGAAAACTTCAATACAATAAGAAAGCAAAATACTATCATCAGTAAATCGCAATTGATTCAAAAATTCTATTATCACTATATTTAAATTAAATAACTAATACACATAATACTAAGTATACAGTATATACCTTCATAAAAAATATAATAATATTTTATTGGAATATATGACTTTCGATTGAGCTCTTTAAAATCCGAGTAACAAATGATTACTTTCCCTATCAACACAATAGGTATAATTTCAGAAGTTGAATTTTCAATTAATAATTTTTTTTTACAAATCATTCTGTTATCAAATATGAGTGCCATAGGATCTGGAAACAATTTAAACAACAACTCTACTTTTACAAGTGAAATTAACACTATTCATCAAAATATACGGACCTCTCATGTATATGAGCTCAGGAATTTACTTTCTATAACAGTACTAAACATTGCTGATATTGCTCTCAATATCGATTCTGGACAATATATTACTGACGGCTAGGAAATTAATTTAGAAAGAGCAAAATTCCTTCTCGAGAAAATAAACACTCTTGTTCCTCTCAAAATGTACGAAGTCAAAAGCTCATATAAAGCTTGCCATAAAACAATGAGTCTCATTCATAATATGATAGCTAAACTAAATAGTGCTGCACCAGTGGGAACGTACTTTTAAATTTGACTAAATATTATATAAACAAAAATTGAAAAATGCTGTTTATTAGCAATATGTATCCCAATTTCAATGGAGATATTTTATTTTAATTCTATTTAATACTTCTTATCATTCGTTTCTTTTTAAAACCATAATTAAAAAATACAAATCTTGTTCTATCCAACAGCTTCCTAAATCAATAATAATAATTTTTGACTTCTATTACCCTACTATGGAAACTCATAAACTTCGAATTCAATGCCTAATATATGTACCATATACTTTAATTAAAAATGTGGAGTTAAACTCCCATTGGAACTGAAATTCTTTTAGTTGTGTTCTTTAAATCAAGAATACTACACTACTACCTACAAATTCTGGACTACATATTTCACAATCTCTCAAACATCAGGTCAAACTTCATTCATAAGTTTTATTACAAATCGTTCTATTATCAGATATGAGTGTACCTATGAATAATTCACCAAACGACCGTCGCTTTACTAATTGGATAAACTCAATCAATTCTGAGTTACCATATTGTCAAACTCTAGAGGTCAAGGACTTATTGTCAACAACATTATCAAGCATTGGTGCTGTTGCCCTCAAAATAGATAATGGTGAATATTTTCATGATACTGTTCAAATCATTTTAGAAAGGGCCCAAATTCTAGTCGAGAAAATTTTCAATCTACTCCCTCATACAAGACTTGAACGACGGGGTCCAACTCAGACTTGCCAGAGAACAATAGATGTCATCAGTGCAATGATAGCAGAACTCCAGCGTATTGCACCTGTTGGAATCTATTTCCATCATTGTAAAAGAGCAGAGATTCTTCAGATTGTGAATAAGGATTACTGCAAAAAGAGTGGACCTCCAACAGGATTGGCACCGGTACGTTACGCTGTTTGTGACAGCTTAGCTGATCTTGCAGGCTATGTCGAGCACTACGATAATTTGGAATTCGACGAAAGCACCAAAATACAATTACTAGAAGCAAAGGCAAAAAAGATGCTCGACAGTCATTATGCTTTTAAAACAGAGCACATTAATGTGCATCAAGAACGTATCATTATTCACAATGCATTAAACTTGGGGATTGATTTGATGTGGAATATTGTATTCAATATGTTACCAGCAGAATCTTCCCTAAGACTTGGATTACAAAGGGGTATTGCAATCGATAACAATCCATTCGAGTAAGATTAATTCAATTTGTTCCGATTTTTCTGTAGTATTATGAAAGCTATCAATTCCCTATAATTCTCCTTTGTATTTCTTCTTATTCACAAGTAACACTCTTTTTACTATTTCAATTCCTTTTATTTCTGCTGATACTATTAATCTTTTTTGAAGTTTGTGGAGTCGTAATATACTCCTAGAATTCTTCCACCTGTATGCTATACTAACGAATAATACATTACTATATGATTTCATGTATTACCTCTGTACTGATCTTAGTGACCCCATTTCTTGAGTTAAAAATCACCATATAAAAATAGTGCTGCTTCCGTATTTTACCACCCCGCTCCCTATAATACCCTATGCCACCATCGAATTACTCTAACTGAGGATACCCGCTATGTGACCTCCTCACACGGATTCCCACCCACTTCCCGAACATATACCTAGCTGAGCATAAACTGCTTTCGGAGCAACCATACCGCGAATCCCCTATTCTCCTACTCACAACTACGTGTCCTGTGAAGCAACCTACATATCCAGGGTGTAGCGGGTTGTTTGCCCTCGGCGGTCATGCCCAATTAGTATGTGTCAGGTAACCACATATGGCAGTCGTGATAGTAAAAACCGCGGGAATGAATAAATCGGCACATCCATTCAGATCTGATAAGATGTTGATACCGTATTAGTGTGAGGATATCTCTAGTTTTAGGAGTATCTTCTATCACACCAGCCTTCCCCGGCTAACCTGACAGATACGAATTGGGCCTGACCGCCGAGGGGGTAATATGTGGCCCCATCATTCCATCATACAATGCTCACTTCCCGCATCCCAATCCCAATCCATCCTACGCTACAGACCCGCCAGAACCACTACCCTACGGAATCCTCTTCTGAATCCATCATCTCCCCACAGATAAATACCAGAAAGATGGGAATTATCTTAACCCTTCTCGTGGTCCTCACCCCTCTCATAGTCCTCACCTCCTGGGCCCGCGTACCCTTTCCGATCCCAACCGGTCTCACTCAGGAACGTAAACGCGCTATCACCAACAAGCAGCCCTACGAAAAGGGAGGAGATGGTATAGTCCTCGAAGGCCACACCGGAGAATGTACGCAAATGGATAAGCTCGCGTGGTCCGCCTATCTTGAAGCTGCGAGGAAAAGCGAGCTGTATGGCACGGAGCGGTAATGAATACATGCCGGCTACGCGTGTATGGGTGTCTCTGCCTGGAGGAGGAGGAGACGACGACGTATGTTTTCGTCATAGCATGTATCCAGGCAGCTATGATTTGGTGGTTTCGGGGGTGAAGGGGTGAGGGTTGCGTGTAGAAATTGGAATGTAAAATTGATGAATTCCTGATCCAAACTACCACTCGCTCTCTGTGATACGCTAAGACAACACCAACTCTACATTAGATCAATGAAACCACTGTTTCTGTCGATACCGTTGAAGAAGTATGCTCGAGATCCATATGTGTAATGCGTAATGATGTATCCCTTCGACGGTCTGATCAAGTCCCTATGTCTTACCGAACCTGATGTATTTAACGTGTTGTGATGAATGATTTCTGTGTCCCGTCTCTCATTGAGCTTACTCTCGCACATGAGATCTCTAACTATGGCCACAATGATAGAACGGACAATAATAGAGTTTCCAAGAGCACGGTGTATACCAGGTTGGGTAACGCTTCGGGACTTGAGCTACACCCCAAGGGATACAAAATCGACGTCGTACTAAAAATCATACCTAGATAAGCGAATCCATCTCACACCCATGCCTGCGGACGCTACATGTACCTTCTATATACCAAATCCTTCGACGGTTGTCAAACGCTCCCTTATACCAGCGTGGTCCGTGCGCTTGAGCGTCACGAGTGATGTTTTGTGAATGGTTGCCAAGACGAGTGACCATTCATGAAGCGCCATTGCCGGGTTCATGTCAAAGCTATTCGGGGAACCGATAGCGATCAACCTTCACAGCTTTTCGTCAAATTTCACATTACCGTCATGTTACGATCAAACTGGTTTGAAAAATTAAATTCATCATTATCCACTGTATGCGGGCTATGTATTCCCGCCCATGAAATCCCCTAGTCATAAAATCCCAGTCATAAATCATCGTCCATCACCCATAAAGAAAACTGTAGCAAAAGATCGCGCGCAAAATAAAAATGTAAAACAAATATCCAAAGCCGAAAAAGAAAACCTCGAGCGTTCAGCGAACCAACCCGGATTACCTGCCCAGTGCAAGTACTTCTGAAATAACCGTAAATGAAAAATCCCCGTCCCTAGCCAGGAAAACAAAGAAGCCCAACCTGTAAGAAATCAGCAAACAACAAGGCAACCCAAGAAAGACGTATATGGGGGTCCCTAAACTGTCAGAAAAACCGAAAGAAAAACCGAAAGAAAAACCCCCAAAGGCCAAAGTAGTCAACCAACACCACAAAAGGAAACCCCAAACCCACCGAAAAACCAGAAACATACCACATCATACCTATCTCCTCCTAGCCCTCCTCTCCTCCCTCCTGGCATCATCCCGCCTACTCCTCTCTCTATCCGCTTCCCCCCACACATTCGAAATACTATCCTCCGGCCTCAGCGTACCGCTCGTACTCGCCGGACCCCCCGAGCCACCCCGACTACCCGAATTAATCCCCCAGATGATGTTTATACCGTGCCCGCCACCGCTTCTCGCACTCGGGGTTGCGCTTCTACTACCCGCACTCGCACTCGGCGGCGGGCTTCTTACTGAGCGCGCGTCGCTCCCGCGCGAGGTCCCTGAGCGATGAGTGTGCCGGCTCGACGCATGCGACGGCACCTCTGGGGCCGTCGGCGGACGGCTCGATCCCCGCGTGACCGCGGAGGGAGGGCGCTGGACATAGTCGGTCCTTGGCGGGAATGAAGACGCCTGGTATCCAGGTGGGGGAGGGGCAATCATACCGATAGGAGGCCTGGACGGTGCGTCATAGCGTGGCGGCGGGCTCATATGCCCGCTGTGAGATCCACCATGGCTTGCCCTGGTTGCGCTGCTACGGTGCGATGTGTGGGAAGGAGCATGGGTGCCAGATGCTGGTATCGGTGGTGGGCTCATTTGACTGCGCCGAGAAGCCGAAGAGGGCGTGTGGCTACGTGTTGAAGGTGCTTGACTATGTGGAGCAGAGGTAATCGCACGGCTATGCGATCTTGACGAGGAGGTAACGCTATTAGGCGCGTAGGGAGGTGCTTGAATCTGCGGAGCATAGTTAATCGCTATAACGTAGGTAGGCGGCGGTGGGCTCGCCACGGGAGGAGGAGCGGCCGCTGCACTTTGCGGGACATAAAACCAGGATGGCTTTGCACCCCGGTCAACAATGTGCGCTGCCGGCGGCATCGTTGGCGGTGCTGGGGGGGCGCTCGTTGGCGGTACGGGGATAGTGCCGTACGGGACGTAGGCACCCTCAGGAATTTGGGCTGTCGTAGCAGGAGAAGGGGTTCCAAAGGTACCAGGGACCCGCAGGTCCGGATTAGAAAACCAGGTTATTCCAGACATGGTAGTGGTTGTAGGTAAGTAAGTCTTTCAAGGTAAGCTAGGTAAGGTTGAACTGGATTGAACAGATTAGCTAGAAGAAGTGTTGATCTACTGTTGATATCGATATGGGGTAATGCGCAGATGATGCTGATTATAGTAGCTTTGAAGAAGTATGGTGGATTCTGTTCGAGGTAAGGGGGGCGAGGGCCCTTTTATATTCCTCAAGACTACTACCACCCTGAAAATATCTGAGTGACACTAACATAAGATACCTAGGACTTCAAAGTGACTCACAGTTGAAATGTAAAGCTATGGAACAGCGTCCCTGTCCTACTGTTGAGAGGTATGAAAACTCTAAATTTCAACGAAACTAATTCACCCAGGCCTTCCGTATAACCTCAAGTTGAAACGGTGGATATTCTGGTTTTGGATCTATCTCTGATGCCTTATAACGCAGTTTTGAGCCAGAAATGTCTTAACAGGTAGCAAAGGTCGTTGAGCCCTCGTTCTCGGCGGCCAATAGCAGTGGAGATACGCCTTTCGATAATCTGTTTCTGCCTGTAGAGTGTTACCTGATACATAGGGGAAGGCTCTTGATTGATACAACACGCGCAGAAGCTGTCCAATAGAATTTCACCTCTTCGATATCGAAGTAGCATAAAAACGTCTCCACTCAATTTCTCCTCAGAAAGTAAAAGTTAGACGTAACCCATCTTAAATCATTTCAGTACAACCAAAACCTACACTCAAAACTTATTATATCAGACACTATGTGCCAGTACGACATAACCATGTATCCCTTCTGCGGACAGGGAAAGGAAATTACCTGCAGCCTTGCAGCCACTTGTAAGCCTCTCATGATTTTCTCCTCGTACCCAAGCTTCCCAGTACTGACATATCATAGCCGATAACACATGCCGCCGCTATCCCTTCGAGGGATGCAGAGACTTTTATGCCACTGGAATTCCATGCCTCAAATTCAGAGATTTCCACTCCGAAGCCGCGTTCTGCAGGGCAGTCGAGGGTCAAAGAGACACCATTGTGCGAGTCTCGTTTGAAGATTGTAACCTTGGCTGTAAGCCCTGTCTCTCCTTCCTACATATCTTTGACATACCAAACTAACACGTATGTTATAGGTCATGGCGCACTTAGTTGCAAAATGGGTCTCAAGAAGCGAGCGACGGATCGGTTCGATAGGCCTGTAGGTCCACCACCAGAGAGGAGGAGGGTGAGATCACACGAGAAATCAGCGATGAAGAGATGGTTGAGCACCGTACAGAAGGGCTCACTTGATCTCACGTCGAGGCAGATGTATGAGAGTGATGGCGGAAGCCCGGAAGAGTATACCTGTGCCACACCCTAGTTATCAGTACTTTGTCGTTTAATGGGGGATTTGAGTATTATTAGGTACTGGCCACTAAGCGTTTTATTCTCTTAGATTTTATAGCTGAGGTGGATTTTTGAATTCGATTATCTTTGGTGTTTTTAATGGACTGAAGCATTGTCCTCTATTCATCTAGTATTGAGTTGCTTTGGTTGCGCGAAGGTGCTGGAAGATGTTGCAAAAGAGTATCTCCAGCTCCTCTCTCGTGAATATCCCATTGTCCCTCTAGGCAATTGACCATGAAACTGCCTCAATATGTGACGTGGTGTTGTAGCTAGCTCATGGAAGTTCCCAGTCTTTGATTACGCTATGTCCCGGGATGACTACGTGGCTTAAAACCTCACGACAGGCCATCTGTGCTAAATGATGTGAGACTAAAATCTCTCAGGGTTGTTCTGCTGTTCTAAGACTAATATACTATAGCCAAAGCCTCCTTACTTATGGCTACAATGGGAGGGTTCTAATCCTTTTCATATCGTAATTCTCGATTCAGTCTGTACCGGTTTTCTGATCATTGCAAATGTACAACCCTCAGGAGTGGTTAGAGTCTGGTGAACTCAATCTACTCTACTACGCTCAATATCACTCAACTATGATCAAGACGATCTTTGAAACCTATTTATTCAGCAACATCAGTCTCATAAGAGGTGGTCAATTGCGGATGGCCAGTCATTTATCATGAAATAGGCAAAGTTGGGATTCCTCTGGCATGCCAGACACCTAGGCCCCACGCCGTATTCATATATGCTCTCAAATGGATCAAACACGTAAGAGATCTCCATGCATACCACAGGATTCCACACAGTCCTCTTTCGAGTTTCCTGGAAAGTTATAAATATATCAATTAATTAATACGGCAACCCCACGCAAAACTCAGACAAAGCAAACCACGGTCACAGCAACATTGACTAACATGCATTAAGCTAGCCTATATGCCATCCCGCTTCTCCGGCAACCAATCCAGCGTAAATAAAAAAGGAACTCGCGCCATCCATGCTATACCCCCCCAACTATTTCCACGCTAAGTGTTTCTCTCCCAACTCTTATCATACCTATACTGACTATCTTCTTGGCCCCTCTGAACCCTCCTATTTGGCCCCGTCCACACAGCACCACTGGTAGTCAAAGTCGCCGGCCTCCCAAACCTATCCGTCTCTCTCTTCGGCGTCCCGGCCTTACATCCCAGATAACCTGCTCACCCCCAAAACATTAGTCATGCAATCCCCGCACCGAAAACCAACCCCCGAAATTACGGTTTCAACTCACCACCTTCCAGATTACAGTCATTATAGTCCACCTTGACCACCGTATCCGGCAGCTCCATCAGTGTACACCGATACTCCGTCTCGTCGTTATTCCACCGCACGCAGGGTCCGCTCATGCGTTCTTTGGCGAGCTCACAGAAGGCGACATTGTACCGGCGGCAGACGCCGTTGCCGTAGTTTTTGTCTGCGTCGCGGGCATACTTTGGGGCGACCTCTTTGTATGGGTGCCCGCAGAAGGGGTACATGATTATTGTGAATTTGCACATTGTTGTTGTTGATATAGTTAGGGGGTTATTGGATGGAGGAGTGTTGATGCTGGAATGCGGTTGGAACAGGAGGAATCCGGGGGTGGGGGAGAGCTTAAGAACCTAAGCAACTCGGATGGGTGTGGGTCTTCTATTGCAGGCTTGTGACTACTGTCGTGGGAGGTGAGAAAGATGGGGGGCTGGATGAGGATATAGAAATATTACTGGTCAGTATACCTAGCTCCCCTGGGAGCGGTTCTAATCTAGACTCACGTTCCCCATAGCATTGAAACGACAATAACGGCCTCTCGTTTATGAATACCGAACCAATCACATTGACCGATTCAGAATTTACCAAAGCACAATGTGGCCAATAACATAGTCCAATAGAAGTTGAGACCCCAGGAAGCGCACTAACAACCGCGATAATATGCACGAACCCTAACCCACCTCGAGTGATACATCATGACCCACACTTTCCTGTCCAAACCTTGCAATTACATCCGATGATCGGACATATAGCAGGATTAGGACTTGATTCTCGATGACTATGGATTGAGAGGCCATGAACCCTCACCAATTCGATTTTGTGGGGGTAATCCAAGAGTAGAACGTCTCGACTGGGTACTAAAAAGACCGTCTTGACGACACATCAAGATAACCTTGGTGAGGTTTCACTGCCTCCCGAGCCATATTAACTTGCACGGTTGTGCTTAGCTATACACATATCCTTACTATCGAAAAGCGAGTGACATTGTATGATATACATCACGCGCTAGAGATGCATGCAAGGGCTCACCCGAATTAAGGAACACGAGATCTACGCTACTGGTGCATGACATACTATACTCTTTGGTAACGTTTCAACTTCTTTCCCGTCCTTGAATAGTGGAAATACTCGCTTATACACTAGGGCTTAAACCGGCTGTGAAGTCCAGCCTAAAGATCTCCTACTGAGAACAAATATCTCGAGTGATCCATCATGACCAAATGGTATAGGTTTAAATGCCCAGGCGGAGCTTGTATCTGTTTTTATTGTAAAAATATGGCATTGCGACATCGGTTATGTATGGTAATTACTCATGTATAAGGGATGACTCATAGTTGGAATAAGGAGGCTTAGCGCTAGGATTATGTAATCAGGGGGTCACGTGGTACTAAGAACTATCTGTATATAAGGAGCAACAAACTCCCATCATTGTCGCTGGAACTCAGCGGCGCAATAGTATCTTCTTTGCACTATAAACATATTCCTCACAAAGGTCACGTGTTCAAACCCTCCTCAAGTCGTCTATTCTCCCACACTCCAATTCACAGGTTATGAGCCCGGGTTCTGCCAAATAGAATCCGCACTACACCATCGCCACCTCGCTTAACTCAACAACACTTCATACAACATCATGCCTTCAGAAGGAGAATCGTCATCCAAGGCTGCTGAGATTAAACCCTCAGAGACAACAGCCACCAGTAACATTCGTCTCAAGTTTGATGGACTCCCTAAGCTACAAGGGCAATCCAACTACCAAACTTGGGCGAGTGCCTGGAGGATAACGTTCGACGCTGTAGACTGGTGGGAAGCGTTGAGCATCGAGAACCCTGACGAGAATGACACCGAACTCAGCAAGACCGAGATAAAGAAGGCTCGTAAACAAATGCACAGCCTTCTCATCTCTGCTGTATGCGAAGAAATACAACCAACAGTCGTCTCCGCCGAAAATGCATTCTACGCATGGAAGGCGCTCAAAGACCTCTACGATCGTGTCTCACCCAACACCACGATCACCCTCCTCAGCCGCGTCCTAGACACGAAGATGCAAGAAGGCGGATCACTGACCGAGCATCTCGCAACCTTCGATGCGAACTGGAATACTCTCAAGTCCAGATGCCAAAGCGCAGACCACAAACTCGCTCAGGCCCTCCTACCCCTCACCAAATCCAACGAAGCCATGGCGGCATTCCTCCTAAGCTCGCTACCCAAATCGATGAGCAACGTTGTCGACAACATCCAGACCAAACAGGATGTTACTTACGAAGACGTTCGCCAACGACTACAGAACCTGGATGAGGTAGCCCCTCAAACAGGAAACAAAGTACTCCATACCAGGAGTACCACAAGCGACAAGGAATGCACCTGGTGCAAGAAAAGGGGACAGCCTTACAAAGGCCACGAGTACACGGAGTGCAGAAAGCTCAAAGAACAGAACAAGAACAGGAAAGGAAGGAGAAAGGACAACTCGGCATCGGTTGTAGTAAATGACTCTACAACCACTATCTGTATGGTACGCCACGACATCTCCCAACCCCTTACTTGGATCCTTGATTCTGGAGCGACCTCTCACGTCACACCCTTCCAAGACCAACTCATCAACATCCGACCTCACACCGGCAATGTCCGAACAGCTGATGGAACCAACCACGCTGTCACCGGAATGGGAAGCGCTAGTTTCAGCTGCCACCTTCCCGATGGAAGTAGATCTTCCATTATCCTCACCGATGTGCTGTTGGTCCCAACCTTGGGAAATGTGGGATTGGTCTCCGAAACCGTGCTCGACAAAAAGGGATTTAGAACGGAGTCAGGAGGAGGAAACAAGTTGGTTACAAAAGAAAAGAAAGGAATAATTTGGGCAAAATTGGAGAAGGGACTTTGGAATGTACAAGTAGTTAGCAATACAGTTCGTTTGACCACTTACGATGAATGGCATCAAGCGTTAGGCCATCCTGCGACACTAGAAAACTTGTATCACGACATTCAAAGGCTGCCTCCCAAACCAGAAAGCTTCCACTGCAGCCAATGTGCACTATCAAAAAGCGTACATAAGAAACCTGCACCAATCAGTACTAGATCCAAACGACCATTCGAACTAATCCACTCAGATCTATCTGGAAAGTTCAGTATACAGTCACAAGGGAAAGCTCAGTACTATATGTCCTTCATCGATGATTACACCCGCTTCGCATGGATATATCTCCTGAAACAAAAAGAAGACGCAAAGAAGGCCATCAAGGACTACGTTACAAGGATCGAAAAACAGTATAGCACAACAATACTGAGATTCAGAACAGATGGTGGTGGTGAATACATCAACAAGGACATAACGAACTACTTCGATTCACAAGGAATAGTTCATGAACAGACTCCCCCATACACTCCTGAATCTAATGGAGTTGCAGAACGATTCAACAGGACGGTAACCACAATGGTCAGGTGCATGATCATGGACCACCCTAAGTCGTTATGGGGAGAAGCATACGCAACAGCTGTCTACCTCAAAAACAGGCTACCTCACAGTACGCTTAAGGGAAAGACCCCCTTTGAAGCCCTGAAAGGAACCAAGCCAAGTATACAACACCTTCAACCATTCGGCAAAAAATGCTACGTCCACATCCCAGAAAACTCTAGGCCAGCAGGAAGCAAACTAGCACCCCGAGCGTATGAAGGAATCATAGTTGGATACTCAGACAGTGATAAAATATACCGTATCTGGATAGGAACACAACATAGGGTAATTGAAAGCCGGGACGTCACATTCCCCCCTCCTGAATCAGGGGAAGTCTCAGTGGAACTCGACTTCATCCCCAGCCTGAAACCAGAAACGACAAATGCACCATCAGACGACGGATACGAATCAGAAGACAGGTCTGATCCAGAACCCGAGTCAAATGCAATCGAAGAGAACCGTACAGAAATGCCAGGATTGTTCCCGGAATCACCGGAACTGGTTAGAAAACCACCACCGGCTACACCAGACAAGGGAAAACAACCTGCCGTACCTATGGGACAACCGCGAGACCCAAGAGACAACTGGGAGAAAATTCCAGCACCAGTCGTACCATTCAAAGGCTTCAAAGGAAAACCACTTGTGTCAACGACACCCAAAGGTACACCACCACAACCTCCAAAACGATCAGATCGAATACGCCAGCGAAAAAATAGAGAAATTGAAATAGAAGTACGGAGGAAGGAGTATGACGAGAAGGTAGTAGAACAACAGAAGTTACTTACAAGTTATATCGAAGATGTGAAAGAAAATGGCCCAGGAGACGAAGCCACTGAACAAGAATTAATCGATCAATACAAAGAAGACTTCAGACGTTATAGGGCTGAGTTAGACACGGAATATCAAGACGTATCCAAACTCCCCCCGAACTACCATATACACCTCGTAACAGAACCTTCCACCTTCAATCAAGCTATGCAGAGCGACGATCAACACCTATGGAAAAAGGCGATACAGACTGAGAAAGACGCCCTTGACAAAGCCCACACCTGGGATATTGTCAACAGACCATCCAACCGAGCAGTAGTCAAAGGAAAATGGGTATTCAAAGTGAAACACAACGCGGACGGAACAATTGAGCGGTACAAAGCAAGGTACGTTGCTAAAGGCTTCACCCAAGTACAGTACCAAGACTACGATGAGACCTTCGCCCCCGTTGCACGATATGATTCTCTACGACTCCTACTGGCACTAGCTGCACACAACGGTTGGATACCACAACAAATGGACGTCAAGTCAGCCTTCTTGTACGGTGTACTCAAGGAGGAAATCTACATGGAACTGCCTGAAGGCTACAGGCAGGATAATAAGGTTTGTAAACTTCGAAAATGCATATATGGACTAAAGCAATCACCCCGTGAATGGTATGCTTGCCTAGCAGACTCCCTTCAACGGAAAGGATTCGTCCCAGCCAAATTCGACCCATGTGTCTTCATACATAAGAACCACCATCTATACATATCGGTGTATGTAGATGACATCATGATATTCGGACCCGACTCCCCATTCAGAAAAGAAATCAGACAACTACTCAAGGCAGATTTCGAATGTACGGATCTCGGTAACTCGAAGTTCATACTGGGAATAGAAATAACGGTAACCAACAACGGTATCACACTATCACAACGCGCATACATCAACAAGATCCTGGATAAATTTGGAATGAGTAACTGCAAACCAGTTGGCACACCACTCGAACCAAACCTCAACCTTCACAAAGGCGAACCGGAAGACCAAATCGAGAAACCAACTGAGTACCAATCCATAATAGGATCACTGATGTACGCGAGTATAGCTACCAGACCTGATATCACCCATGCCGTTACCGCTCTCTCCCAGTACTCCTCATGTCCAACCGAGGACCACCTACGAGCAGCCAAGCGAACTCTCCGATACCTCAATGGAACCAAAGACTGGAACCTGTTCTACCCGAAGGGGAATACTAGAACACTCGACGGATTCTCAGACAGTTCCTACGCTTCAGACCTAGATGACAGAAAATCGTTCTCAGGATACGTGTTCAGACTAGGGAAGTCAGCCATCAGCTGGAGAAGCCGGAAGCAGAAATCAGTCGCAGTCTCAACAACAGAAGCCGAATACATGGCCCTGTCCCTCGCAGCTCGACAACTGGTATGGATTCGTAACGCCTTGCTCGAACTCCAACAACAATACCAGTACTTCATACACGCCGACAACACAGGTTCTATCGAACTCTGTCGGAACCCACGCATCCACGACCGGTCCAAGCACATCGACGTTCACTACCACTACACACGTGAACAACTCGAAGCCGGAACCTTCGAAATCCTCTATGTCCCTACCGAAGACAATGTCGCGGACATAATGACCAAAGGACTACCAAAACCAGCTCACCAAAAATTGTCAGAATTGATACGATGTGGCAAGTGAGGGGAAGTGTAAAAATATGGCATTGCGACATCGGTTATGTATGGTAATTACTCATGTATAAGGGATGACTCATAGTTGGAATAAGGAGGCTTAGCGCTAGGATTATGTAATCAGGGGGTCACGTGGTACTAAGAACTATCTGTATATAAGGAGCAACAAACTCCCATCATTGTCGCTGGAACTCAGCGGCGCAATAGTATCTTCTTTGCACTATAAACATATTCCTCACAAAGGTCACGTGTTCAAACCCTCCTCAAGTCGTCTATTCTCCCACACTCCAATTCACATTTATCCCACTTCAATACCACGAGTGCATAGTCGGGTACTACTGGCACCACGTTTATTGGCCACAAGGCTAAACCCGGGGATGCAACCCAATCAGATGGCCTCCTTTTGTATTGCAGAAACCTAATATTTGAAATGATTGGCTATGTACTCGTGGTATACCAGAGCTCCTATAGGTGCCATAGTAATTAAATCTGTAGAATCCAGACAATATGAGGCCCATAAAATCCCTAGTCCCCAACCGGCCTCAGACCAAGTCACTAATCCGCACTCCACTCACTAGTATATCATCTCGCGAACAGTTATTTCACAACATTCCGATCCCCGATCCAGTTCCCATCATTAATCAAAAGGCCACCGCCATCATGTGCATCTACACGATCAACGAATACCCCTTCTGCAGCGATCTAAACATCTACGTCGCCCCCGAGGACGCCACTATGTGCGGTTAGTTCATTCCAGCTTCCCCTATAGTGTCACTTGCTATTCTATATCTATAGCTAACATCATATACAGAGGGCAACGGCAACCAGATGTGCCGCAAGTACAGTTTCACGGCCTGCGCTAATCTCACACGGACTGGCCGTCCGTGCGTGGCGCATAGGAGCGAGAGGAAGTACCGTGAGGCAATCGAGGCACGCGAGGATACGATTATTAGGGTGCACCTTACGGACTGTAACATGAAAGGTATGTTGATTTCCTAGTTTGAGTATTGTCTTGGAACCGTCGGGCCTGGTTTGCCGGAAGGCAGATGGAGATGAAATGAAACGGGTAGTTAATCTGCTGATATATCTCGCATTCCTATTTTTGCCTCCCAGGAAAACAGGTCTCGGAGGTCAAAAATTTACTTTTCCCTCTTTGGCTGTTTCAAACTAACATAATGTCAGTGGATGTGAACATGGGCTGCAAAGTCGGCAACGGCAAACGCAGGACCGACTACTTCAACAATCCAACTACCGTTGATGGCGTCCCAAATATCGGGCCTCAGCGCTTCCCCAAAATTGGGGTTGATGGACAGAGGCTCATCGAATTGATTCAAGAGAGAGAGAGGAATTAACTTCTAAGCACGGGACTACGTTTTGTGAGCTATATCTTGTTTGAGCTTCTTTTCTGCGTCTTTGCGATGAGTTTCGGTGTTTTAGGTTTGGTTTGATCGATTCTTTGGTGTTAGTGCTTGAGTGTTTCTTGGTTAATTCTGGTTGGAGTAATGGTTAGGGATGGATATTAGTCTAAGTATTTGTTTTACTACTTATTCTTAATTATAACCTTATGTTTCGAGGAATATAATAGATAACCTAATCTATGATCCGGTTAAGATAAATTGTCCTATGAGCGCTCTCCATGAAGCTTTCCTTGACCGCGTATTCACTCCTTGGCCGATAATATATGTCTCGGGCTCCTGTCCGTTAATGAATAGGCAATGGGGGTTTGATCCACCATCTGCTAACTTGCCCGCCTCAGGATTCGAACCTGGGGACGGTAACATGGGCAAAGTCCAGTTTCACTAATCCGGTTTGGCCGTTTTAAACACCTGCTGTCCTGCATCGAGACCCACGGCTAAATTATAATCCCCACCCACCAAGGGCAAGGGGGCCAGAGGGGCTTATCTTATCTGATTTTCTCTTGGCCGGGCGGGACAGGTAGGTTAGTTTAACCAAGTGGCCACGCCCACCATAAACGTACATGTACATCTGTTCTAGTCTCGTACCCAGCCCGTTACTTGCAGCAAGCTGTGGATTGGAGTGTGGGAGAATAGACGACTTGAGGAGGGTTTGAACACGTGACCTTTGTGAGGAATATGTTTATAGTGCAAAGAAGATACTATTGCGCCGCTGAGTTCCAGCGACAACTATGGGAGTTTGTTGCTCCTTATATACAGATAGTTCTTAGTACCACGTGATCCCCTGATTACATAATCCTAGCGCTAAGCCTCCTTGTTCCAACTATGAGTCATCCCTTATACATGAGTAATTACCATACATAACCGATGTCGCAATGCCATATTTTTACACTTCCCCTCACTTGCCACATCGTATCAATTCTGACAATTTTTGGTGAGCTGGTTTTGGTAGTCCTTTGGTCATTATGTCCGCGACATTGTCTTCGGTAGGGACGTAGAGGATTTCGAAGGTTCCGGCTTCGAGTTGTTCACGTGTATAGTGGTAGTGAACGTCGATGTGCTTGGACCGGTCGTGGATGCGTGGGTTCCGACAGAGTTCAATAGAACCTGTGTTGTCGGCGTGTATGAAGTACTGGTATTGTTGTTGGAGTTCGAGCAAGGCGTTACGAATCCATACCAGTTGTCGAGCTGCGAGGGACAGGGCCATGTATTCGGCTTCTGTTGTTGAGACTGCGACTGATTTCTGCTTCCGGCTTCTCCAGCTGATAGCTGACTTCCCTAGTCTGAACACGTATCCTGAGAACGATTTTCTGTCATCTAGGTCTGAAGCGTAGGAACTGTCTGAGAATCCGTCGAGTGTTCTAGTATTCCCCTTCGGGTAGAACAGGTTCCAGTCTTTGGTTCCGTTGAGGTATCGGAGAGTTCGCTTGGCTGCTCGTAGGTGGTCCTCAGTTGGGCATGAGGAGTACTGAGAGAGAGCGGTAACGGCATGGGTGATATCAGGTCTGGTAGCTATACTCGCGTACATCAGTGATCCTATTATGGATTGGTACTCAGTTGGTTTCTCGATTTGGTCTTCCGGTTCGCCTTTGTGAAGGTTGAGGTTCGGTTCGAGTGGTGTGCCAACTGGTTTGCAGTTACTCATTCCAAATTTATCCAGGATCTTGTTGATGTATGCGCGTTGTGATAGCGTGATACCGTTGTTGGTTACCGTTATTTCTATTCCCAGTATGAACTTCGAGTTACCGAGATCCGTACATTCGAAATCTGCCTTAAGTAGTTGTCTGATTTCTTTTCTGAATGGGGAGTCGGGTCCGAATATCATGATGTCATCTACATACACCGATATGTATAGATGGTGGTTCTTATGTATGAAGACACATGGGTCGAATTTGGCTGGGACGAATCCTTTCCGTTGAAGGGAGTCTGCTAGGCAAGCATACCATTCACGGGGTGATTGCTTTAGTCCATATATGCATTTTCGAAGTTTACAAACCTTGTTGTCCTGCCTGTAGCCTTCAGGCAGTTCCATGTAGATTTCCTCCTTGAGTACACCATACAGGAAGGCTGACTTTACGTCCATTTGTTGTGGTATCCAACCGTTGTGTGCAGCTAGTGCCAGTAGGAGCCGTAGAGAATCATATCGTGCAACGGGGGCGAAGGTCTCATCGTAGTCTTGGTACTGTACTTGGGTGAAGCCTTTAGCAACGTACCTTGCTTTGTACCGCTCGATTGTTCCGTCCGCGTTGTGTTTCACTTTGAATACCTATTTTCCTTTGACTACTGCTCGGTTGGATGGTCTGTTGACAATATCCCAGGTGTGGGCTTTGTCAAGGGCGTCTTTCTCAGTCTGTATCGCCTTTTTCCATAGGTGTTGATCGTCGCTCTGCATAGCTTGATTGAAGGTGGAAGGTTCTGTTACGAGGTGTATTTGGTAGTTCGGAGGGAGTTCGGATACGTCTCGATATTCCGTGTCTAACTCAGCCCTATGACGTCTGAAGTCTTCTTTGTATTGATCGATTAATTCTTGTTCAGAGGCTTTGTTTCCTGGGCCATTTTCTTTCACATCTTCGATATAACTCGAAAGTAACTTCTGTTGTTCTACTACCTTTTCGTCATACTCTTTCCTTCGTACTTCCATTTCAATTGCTCTATTTTTTCGCTGGCGTATTCGATCTGATCGTTTTGGAGGTTGTGGTGGTGTACCTTTGGGTGTCGTTGACTCAAGTGGTTTTCTTTTGAAGTCTTTGAATGGTACGACTGGTGCTGAAATTGTCTCCCAGTTATCTCTTGGGTCTCGCGGTTGTCCCATAGGTACGGCAGGTTGTTTTCCCTTGTCTGGTGTAGCCGGTGGTGGTTTTCTAACCAGTTCCGGTGATTCCGGGAACAATCCTGGCATTTCTGTACGGTTCTCTTCGATTGCATTTGACTCGGGTTCTGGATCAGACCTGTCTTCTGATTCGTATCCGTCGTCTGATGGTGCATTTGCCGTTTCTGGTTTCAGGCTGGGGATGAAGTCGAGTTCCACTGAGACTTCCCCTGATTCAGGAGGGGGGAATGTGACGTCCCGACTTTCAATTACCCTATGTTGTGTTCCTATCCAGATACGGTATATTTTATCACTGTCTGAGTATCCAACTATGATTCCTTCATACGCTCGGGGTGCTAGTTTGCTTCCTGCTGGCCTAGAGTTTTCTGGGATGTGGACATAGCATTTTTTGCCGAATGGTTGAAGGTGTTGTATACTTGGCTTGGTTCCTTTCAGGGCTTCAAAGGGGGTTTTTCCCTTAAGCGTACTGTGAGGTAGCCTGTTTTTGAGGTAGACAGCTGTTGCATATGCTTCTCCCCATAACGACTTAGGGTGGTCCATGATCATGCACCTGACCATTGTGGTTACCATCCTGTTGAATCGTTCTGCAACTCCATTAGATTCAGGAGTGTATGGGGGAGTCTGTTCGTGAACTATTCCTTGTGAATCGAAGTAGTTCGTTATGTCTTTGTTGATGTATTCACCACCACCATCCGTTCTGAATCTCAGTATTGTTGTGCTATACTGTTTCTCGATCCTTGTAACGTAATCCCTGATGGCCTTTTTTGCGTCTTCTTTCTGTTTCAGGAGGTATATCCATGCGAAGCGGGTGAAATCATCGATGAAGGACATATAGTACTGAGCTTTTCCTTGTGACTGTATACTGAACTTTCCAGATAGATCGGAGTGGATTAGTTCGAATGGTCGTTTGGATCTAGTACTAATTGGTGCAGGTTTCTTATGTACGCTTTTTGATAGTGCACATTGACTGCAGTGGAAACTTTCTGGTTTGGGAGGCAGTCTTTGAATGTCGTGATACAAGTTTTCTAGTGTCGTAGGGTGGCCTAACGCTTGATGCCATTCATCGTAAGAGGTCAAACGAACTGTATTGCTAACTACTTGTACATTCCAAAGTCCCTTCTCCAGTTTTGCCCAAATTATTCCTTTCTTTTCTTTTGTAACCAACTTGCTTCCTCCTCCTGACTCCGTTCTAAATCCCTTTTTGTCGAGCACGGTTTCGGAGACCAATCCCACATTTCCCAAGGTTGGGACCAACAGCACATCGGTGAGGATAATGGAAGATCTACTTCCATCGGGAAGGTGGCAGCTGAAACTAGCGCTTCCCATTCCGGTGACAGCGTGGTTGGTTCCATCAGCTGTTCGGACATTGCCGGTGTGAGGTCGGATGTTGATGAGTTGGTCTTGGAAGGGTGTGACGTGAGAGGTCGCTCCAGAATCAAGGATCCAAGTAAGGGGTTGGGAGATGTCGTGGCGTACCATACAGATAGTGGTTGTAGAGTCATTTACTACAACCGATGCCGAGTTGTCCTTTCTCCTTCCCTTTCTGTTCTTGTTCTGTTCTTTGAGCTTTCTGCACTCCGTGTACTCGTGGCCTTTGTAAGGCTGTCCCCTTTTCTTGCACCAGGTGCATTCCTTGTCGCTTGTAGTACTCCTGGTATGGAGTACCTTGTTCCCTGTTTGAGGGGCTACCTCATCCAGGTTCTGTAGTCGTTGGCGTACGTCTTCGTAGGTAACATCCTGTTTGGTTTGGATGTTGTCGACGACGTTGCTCATCGATTTGGGTAGCGAACTTAGGAGGAATGCCGCCATGGCTTCGTTGGATTTGGTAAGGGGTAGGAGAGCCTGAGCGAGTTTGTGGTCTGCGCTTTGGCATCTGGACTTAAGAGTATTCCAGTTCGCATCGAAGGTCGCGAGATGCTCGGTCAGTGATCCGCCTTCTTGCATCTTCGTGTCTAGGACGCGGCTGAGGAGGGTGATCGTGGTGTTGGGTGAGACACGATCGTAGAGGTCTTTGAGCGCCTTCCATGCGTAGAATGCATTTTCGGCGGAGACGACTGTTGGTTGTATTTCTTCGCATACAGCAGAGATGAGAAGGCTGTGCATTTGTTTACGAGCCTTCTTTATCTCGGTTTTGCTGAGTTCGGTGTCATTCTCGTCAGGGTTCTCGATGCTCAACGCTTCCCACCAGTCTACAGCGTCGAATGTTATCCTCCAGGCACTCGCCCAAGTTTGATAGTTGGATTGCCCTTGTAGTTTAGGGAGTCCATCAAACTTGAGACGAATGTTACTGGTAGCTGTTGTCTCTGAGGGTTTGATCTCAGCAGCCTTGGATGACGATTCTCCTTCTGAAGGCATGATGTTGTATGAAGTGTTGTTGAGTTAAGCGAGGTAGCGATGGTGTAGTGCGGATTCTATTTGGCAGAACCCGGGCTCATAACCTGTGGATTGGAGTGTGGGAGAATAGACGACTTGAGGAGGGTTTGAACACGTGACCTTTGTGAGGAATATGTTTATAGTGCAAAGAAGATACTATTGCGCCGCTGAGTTCCAGCGACAACTATGGGAGTTTGTTGCTCCTTATATACAGATAGTTCTTAGTACCACGTGATCCCCTGATTACATAATCCTAGCGCTAAGCCTCCTTGTTCCAACTATGAGTCATCCCTTATACATGAGTAATTACCATACATAACCGATGTCGCAATGCCATATTTTTACACAAGCTGCTCACAGTACGTCCTCTGGAAGCATGGATGTAGACGGGTTGGGGACGAGCCTACCTCTGTTCTTTGTAAAGCTCCACCTTTTCTACTCCTTGTGCTTGGCTGTCCTCATGATTAGAGTAGCTGGCCTCTGATTAATGAACTCGGACACAACCACCACCCCGGAAAGAACACCATGATTCATCAACAATAGCAAACATTATGAACAATAGCTTTGGTCGTCCAACTTCTGATAAGCAATTATACAAACACTTCAATAGCTTCGCTTCTATACACTTTATCAAAACACCATGCAGGGAACTACCGTTCTCAAAAGATTTCCTCGGATGTTTAAATGAGAATGGAAGAGAATCCGGCCCAGCGAAGGGAGGGTGCTCGAGAAGGACTCAATCTGCTGAGGGAATGAAGCTCTCAGAGCCTTTGGTCATGGGCATTCATGCATCCCTACGTGAAGTACTCTTCCTTCTTCTGACAATCATCAGAAATCACTCACTTTATCAACATTCCTACAACTCAAACCTACTCTCGCACAGGAACTCGCAAGAGACAAACATCTAGCACCTAAAGCTGACTAAGAAGTGTTTCACCTCGACAAATACTAATTACTGAGAAGATAGCATTGAAATATTCAATCAATTCCATTTGATTACGACTTACATACTCTATGAAAAGATTGGTCAAATATCCTGACTCGAAGAGTGTGATACTATTAATCTGCCTGGGTACAAGACTGCGTGTCACAAATTGATAGTTTCCTTCACGGCACCCGACTCTTTAATCTGACCCTATGTAGGGTGAAGGTTAGCTACGGCCTGAGATTCTATAATCTCTGACGCTGTCAATTGTCATACAAGAACGGGTTTTTAACCGTGAAGGCATTCGAACTAGATGCTCGCCCATGGTCTTGATACTACCGATATAAACCAGACCATAGGCGTCGAGAACTACGTGCAGCACCATAACCATCATACAGATTCTGAACTCCTGAACGCGAGATATATACTCCAGTTATAAAGTCGTCATAAAATAAGGCAAGATGTGCATCTTCCAGATCAAAGATTTCTACTTTTGCGGTTGCCGCAGAACTTTACTCGATGCTGACGACGCCATATTCATGAGTAAGCTGATCCTTTATAACGATACTGTTCCATAAACATGTTCTAACAGATCGTAGTCAAAGGCTATTTCAGCATAGAGATAGTGTGCACTAGATACACCTTCTACCCATGTAACCTGATCCAGATCAACGGGGCCCCGTGTGTAGAGTGGACAGGAGATGAACGGGAGTATCGTAAGAAACTAGAGAAGCGTTATAACACCATCATTCTTGTTTCTTTGGACGATTGTAACCTGGATCGTAAGTGTCCCCATACCCCAAACCTCTGTAATTATCTAGGTAACCACTAACTATCTACGAACTCAGCCAATGACCCTAGGGGCTGTAAACTAAGGAGACATCGAAGAGAAACTGGCCGATTCAGCGAGCCAATTGTACCAGAGGTTCCACGCAGGGTAAAGCCAGGGGGCGAACAGGAGTTTGAGGAGATTATCTTGTCCAGGGAGAGGAATAGGCATCTTCTCAGTAGTGTCAACCTCTTTGGCGCAGGCGAATGTTAACGGTTTTTTTGAGTCCATATCCAACTCCTGACCTACTATAAGTGGTTGATAGTATTAATCTTGTGCGTCCTATGTTATGAGTATTTTAGCTTCCAGGTCCTTCTATTTATGTATCCGTGTACTTTCCTTTCTATATCCACGCAATGAAAAGGCTCATTCTAACCACTGCTTCCTGGCATATTCAATGCATATCGTACATAACAGCGCCACATAGGTGGCTACCTTATGTGGCACTTCAAGACCCTATACGTACTCCGTTATACAATGTGATACACAATGATAATGGGTATACAACCAAAGCTTGCTATAACGGTACGCTCGGGACAGGAATTTGGTACCGTTATAGAGAGATTATCCTTATATAAGAGGTGATTGTGCTGAAATCCGGGCAAAAAGGTCCGAGAAGTGGTACCGTTATAGAGAGATTACCCTTATAGAAGGTACCGTTATAGCAAGCTTTCGCTGTATATAGAATCGTCTTATAAAAACCGGTGAAAGCGATAGCCATAAAAGCCATTCCTCGTGATTAGCTGTGCCGTGTTGATCCACCGAAACTTTGCCGTATCCCACAGCTAAATACCTTACATCAAGCCCTTTGAAATCAAAATGTGCCATCACGTCATAACATACTACCCCTTCTGCGGCTGTCCCACGCTAGAAGTCACGGCTCGTGATGCCGTCTTTATACGTAAGTCAACCCCCTACTCAACCCTTCTATCCCCATATACTAACCAACCCCCAGTCGACGGCCACGACAGAAACATGTGCACAGGCTATACCTTCTATCCCTGCACGCGCACCAGGACCGCCGCCAGCCTCTGCGTCCCCTGGCGCGGCAACGCCGAGTCTTATCAGCGGCAGATCAAGGCCCGCTCCGACACCATTATACTGGTGTCGTTGGGAGACTGCGGGTTAGGGTGTAAGTTGTTCTCCCCGGCTTATTGTTCTCAATGGTTTTGTAAATTGATTACTAACGTAACCTGGATGTGGATGTAGCGAGGAATGTGATGGGCGGATGTAAGTCCCGCGGAGCTCAGAGGGCGGCCAGGGATAGTTTTGGAGCATTGTTGGAGGAGGAGATGGTGAGGGGGGTGAAGAGGGGGGCGGAGGAGGAGATGCAGAGGTGTGTGTTTGTGAGGGAGAGGAATGAGGAGCTGTTGGAGGTGGTGGAGAGGAGAATGGGGGGAGGGATGGAGATGTCGGTCGGGGGTGGGCTGGTGGAGAGGTAGCGGTAGGGTGTTGGTCTCTTACCCATCCGCTCTGAGTAGCTTGAATTATATCTATTTTTTATTTTAGAATAGTTTATGTATTTTCTGGGTCTCTAGATTCGCTTTCTGCTGCGGTGTTTTGTGTGTTTTACTCGTTTTCTTTGTGAGATAATGCCTATTCAAGTTGTTACCACTCCAATCTTATTGACAAGCCGTCATTGACCCTTTTTCAATGATTTCACTTTCAAGTTCCCTCGCCCGGCATTCGACTGATAACCACAAAACCCACCTCACGTTCTCCCACCGACGTTAACCCAAGAAACACACACACACACCACCAAAACGCTCACAAACAACACCCGCCAAGCCTCGTGGCCAGTATAAAGGCACAGGCACAGGGCCCCACATCCCTCTCATCCGCAACCACCACATAACCTTGCAGCACGAATTGAAAGAACAACATAACAATGTGTATACACCTTGTTAAGAAGCACTATTTCTGCTCCTGCGACGAGACGGAAGTGACGCCGGAAGATGCCTGGTTATTCTGTCCGTCCCAAGTCCCAAGTCCGGCTATCAATTGACACTTCATTTTCCCTAGATTCCTCTTCTCCTTCTTCTTCCATATCCTATTCTTCTTCTACATGGTATTCTAACCATGTCCCATTCTCCAGCCGCCACCGACGACAAACGCCACTGCCGCACATTCACCTTCTATCCCTGCGCCCTGACACTCTCCACGGGCGTCTACTGCACGCCCTACACCACCGGCAGCCTGGACTCCTTCTACACCCTCATCGAATCTCTCCCAAACACCATCATCCTCGTGCTGCTGAGCGACTGCAACAGCGACGACTGCCAGAACGCACGTCCGCGTGGCAAGACAGATAGGTTCAGTGTGCCGAAGGTGCCGAGGATGGTGCGGACGGTAAGGGAGGGCGCGGAGGAGGATATGGAGAGTACGGTGTGGGTGAGGGAGAGGAATAGGGCGTTGTTGGGGGAGGTGGGGTTGGTGCAGAGGGTGAGTGGGGGGGAGGTGAGGAGTGTGGTTGGGGCGCTGCCGGTCTTGGTGGAATGCTAGGCTTCTGGGGGGGGGGGGGGGGGGGGGGGGTAGGCGGGGTGCTGGGTGTGCGTGGTGGGTGTGCGGCGCTGGGTGTGGTGTTGTGGGTGTTTTTAGGCGCTTTTGCGTTGTGGTTTAAGGCGTCGAGGTGAATAGATTAACATCTCACTGGGCTTGCTTGGCTTCATTGTTTTATTTGTACATCTACATCAAACTCTCTACTATTCTAAACACTTTCCCCCCTCCTACATCGGCCTCAAGCGCACCCAAAGTTCCCACAGCAAGCTCACTCATGCTTTATCACTCGCTCATCCTCCCAGTCACAGATTATCACTCGTTTTCCTCTTCTGTTCCGCAAGAAGGATTTTGTATGTACATGTATGTAGGGGCCAGCAATAACCACAAGGCTTCCGTATCATTAAAGCACAACACGATAATCCAAGCTAGTAAGTACAATAAAAACCATAGAAATCACGAATACACCTCCTCCGTGTCAAGCCCCCCCTCCCCCCTTTTTCCCCAAAACCCAGCGATCATTCCTAACCTAGCGCCACACCACTACCCACAGAACCTACCAGCCAAAACAGAACTATACACACAAAAGGTCCCATTCTACACACGCGCAACGAAATTGAACATTCTATAGCCCAGTAGGGTTAGGGTTTCATGTACTTGGCGCTATCGACTACCATATCCTGGCCTTCTATTGTTTCAATGTACCGACGAGCTCTATATCCCTTATGCTTGTGGGAAATACACCAGCTCTTTTTCATGAGCTCCTAGACGGAGACTAGTGTTATGTATGGCCATGACGGTGGGAATCAAAATTTGTGATCAACAAATTCTGGAACTCTTTCCTCTCCCTGTTGGAAGAATAATGATGCCAAATCAGAGTGATTTCCCCTCCCCGTATATCGAAAATATCAACTATCAAAACCAAACCTAACCCTGGTTACATCTATCAGTTACACCTAACCCTGACCTATATTCGCTCCCCTAACCCTGCAACCACCCCCCACACGCAGAAACCTCCCCATCCGAGAACCACAAAATTAACGCGGAAACACCGAATCTCACCAATCAGGCTTTTATAGCGAGTGGTACCATGTTATCAAGTATCACCTCGACTGATTTCCCTAGTAGGGAGTTGTTTGGAACTACTGCGGAGATATCTGCTTTGCGTGGTTCTCGAGTCTTGGGTCTTGATGCCCATTGGTATGGATTGTAGATAACCTATCGCAATCAGGATGATACATCGACCCTTACTGAATACGGTTGATTAAACATTTCTAGATATCTGCTTCACAGGTTATCACTCGGACTTAACACCCATATACCTACCAGAAACCCCACTTCTGTAATTCCCCTTCCGAAGATACACGAGATCACACAACTATTTAACGGCCAGCACCAGCTTCTTTGACTTTAAGATTTAGCTATTTATTTGTTACTATATATTACGAAACTAGAACATCCGACCCAGATCAACCCCACCAACAGGTAACCTCCGGTCAGCAAACAAAGCAGATCCAGCGAGAAAAAAGAAAAAACCCAGAACGAAAACCCATCTCATCAACCCATCAAGGGGACGGACAAGACAGCGGTGATAGTTCCCATCGGGTATCACACCAACGTGCTCGTACTCACCACCGTCGCATTCGCTACATATACCCCAATCCTCCCCGCGCCCCCACAATACGCAAACGCGTCACCGCCACACAGCATCCCACACTGCGAGTCCGCCACCTTCGCTGCCGTCGCCGTAATCGCCGCACCGCAATAACACTACCCGCCATCCACCATCAGTACTCAATTACTATTTTCTAGGATTAAACTGGGACTACATACCTCAGTGGAGTACTCGACACCAGCGTATTTGTATCCACCCGCTTTACAGAAGCCGACGCAGACAGTCACGTTCATCCCCGCACCTGTAGTCATCGACCCCGCCAGCGCGCGTTCATTGACGCCCTCACTACCGTCACCAACCGTATCAGCACCACCCTACCAAGAAACCAAATACACGAACAGAAAGGAGGAAAAAAAGACATACCTATAGCACCCCAACGCCACATACCCATCCACGCCCTCGACAATCTTCGGCGCCCTCGGCAGCACAACCGCCGTATTATTCCACACCGACAGAGCTCCGGGCCCACCACACACCAGGTCCGGATTTCCACCACAGGCCATGACGCACTGGGTTGATCCGCCAAGCGTGGACCCGTTCTCGAGGGTGGTGCCGCAGTAGCATTCGGTCGAGTATTCGGCGCCTGAGAGGGGGTAGCCTTTGGTTGTGCAGTAGTCCTGGCAGAGGGTGGGGGTCATGGTGCTGTTTGTGAAGCTGGCTTTGGAGAGCGCGCGGCCGCCGGAGGGCTCGTTTGCGCAGCCGAGGTATTTGTACTCTGATCTTGCGGTGGGTGTTGAGGATGTTGAAGAGGTTGGAGATGTGGTTGGAGTGGAGCTTGTCTGGCTGGTAATTGTGACTGGAGCTGTAGCTGATGATGCGCCGGACGATGTCAAACTAGAAACTTGCCTCGAAATAATCATCGAAGAGCTCGAAGTAATGATTGCCGAACTCCCAACAGACACCGCCGAAGAGCTTGACACCGGCGGAGATGTCGACACCGTCGAAACACTTGACGTTATCGAAGAATTCGACACCGCCGACGAACTCGGTAGGATCACCGACGAACTCACCACCGCATCCGCCACATAAACATTCAGACTCCCAGCCCCGCCACAAAACGCATACATATCCCCGCCACACCCCATCCCACACTTCTCCTGCCCAAGCTTCACTGCCGTCGCCGCCAGGCCATTTCCGCAGTAACACTCCGTCCCATACTCGACACCCGCATAACTATACTTTCCCTCCTTACAAAACGCCACACACGTCTCCACCGTCATCCCACTCGCGGCCGTCGCCGCCCCCGCAAGCGCCCTCTCACCCACACCCTCCGCATAGCACCCCGCCGACACATACCCGCCCGCGCCTGCTATTACCGCCGGCTCCCTAGCCGCCCCGATGTCTGTGTTATTATAGACGCTCAGCGCGCTAGGCCCGCCGCAGATTGCGGCTGCGTTGCCGGCACAGGGCATTGTGCAGGCGGGGGAGCCGAGGGTGGACCCGTTCTCGAGATGCGTGCCGCAGAAGCATTCGCTGGCGTATTCGACGCCTGAGAGGGCGTGGCCGAGCGTTGTGCAGTAGTCTTGGCAGTGCTCGAGCGTCATGGTGGAGTTTGCGAAGCTGGCGAGGGTGAGGGCGCGGCCGGTAGTACCTTCGGTTGCGCAGCCGACATATTTGAAATTGGGTCTTATCGTTGCACTTGGAGTTGCGGTAGAGGAGGTTACTGTTGGTGTTGCTGATGCGGTGGGGGAGGTGGTAATGATCGTTGAGCTGGTGGAGTTGCTGGCGGTCATGTCGCGGTAGATGTTGAGTCTTCCGGCGCTTCCGCAGTACGCATATGCATCGCCGCCGCACAACATGTTGCAATCTCCATCATTGACCTTTGCCGCCGTCGCAGCAAGTGCAGAACCGCAGTAGCACTCAGTACTGTACTCCATCCCTGCATATCGAAACCCTCCAGCTTTACAGTATCCCACGCAACCAGCAACGGTCATATTACTCGCCGCCGTAGCACCTCCCGCAAGAGCCCGCTCATTCAGGCCCTCGGTGTAGCATCCCTGGCTAAAAAACGTATCTACACTCGGCACAACAGCCGGTGTTCTTGGAGCACCCAGTAGTGTGTTGTTGTAAACCGACAGAGCTCCGGGACCACCGCAAATCTGCGCTGGATCCCCGCCGCAGGCCATGACGCACTGAGTTGTGCCGCCGATTGTGGAGCCGTTTTCGAGAGTGAGGCCGCAATAGCATTCGGTAGAGTACTCCATTCCGGAGAGAGGATACCCTTTGCCGGTGCAGTACTCTTGGCATTTTTGAATTGTCAGAGTTGAGCTCGCGGTGGCGTCTTTTGAGAGGGCTCGGCCATTTGTGCCTTCGTTTGCGCAGCCAAGATATTGGTAGCTGCCCGTAGGAACCGCGGATGGAGATATTGTGGACGATGAGATGACAGAGGTGGATGATATGGTTGGAGCAGTTATAGATATCGAGAGGTTACTCGACATGGTGGAGGATGAAATAATGACAGTAGACGAAATATTGCCAGAAGGCATAGAAGAAGGAATCATAGTCGTGGACGAAGCAATGCTCGAAGACGAAGATGAGATAGTTGTATTCCCGGGAGTGTACTGACGTCTATCCGCAAACAGACTCATATACGCACCATCTCCTCCGCAGTACTCCTGGAAATTACCCTTACAAAGATACTGACAATACGTATCAGCCACCTTCACGAGCGGCGCCTTCGTCCCACACCAGCCTATACAATATCCCACGTCAGCAAGACAAAACACATCAATGGATTTTATGGAAAAGACTTACATTCACCCTCATACTGCGTCGCCGCAAACGGGAACATCTGCGGCTTCTGGAAACAGTCCGTTTGGCATATCCCGTTCGTATTATTCACACTATAATACAACAGCTCCTCCAGGTTCCTCGTAGGATTCGCATCTTTATAGCAACCCAGGTACCGGTACCACGCCTGCCCATTCGAATCCAGCGGGCCAACCTGAGTCGAAGCACCATTGCAGACAAAATCAATCTCATGCTTCCCAAACGTCGGATCGTTATTATTCATCGTCCACACCGCCTTTAGCGTCGTCGGATCCTCATTGACCTGGCTCTTCGGCGGCGAACAAATCAACGACGCCTCCTCGTACGCGCCAGGTGCTATCTGGGAGCCCTCTGCGATGGAGCCAAGAGCATTTACGGCGGCGAGAGCGCCGGATACTGGTGGCTTGGAGATGGTGGTGGTGAGTGTTGTGCCGCCTTTGTTGCTCAGTCGCATAGTTCTGAACTGCTGTGTCCCGAGTGGAACTTGCCCGAATTCGAATGGAACACCGGCTTTGAACTCTACCCAGGTCCCGTTTAGACGCTGCCACTCCAACACGGCTTTAGGTGCAGACCCCGCAGTCCCGAATGCGCCCACAACCTTTGTTCCGCCATTTGTAATGATTCGCAGATATACAGTAAAGTACCCCGCCTCAGTACCGTTAAAGTTGACCGTCGTCAAGATGGATGACGTTCCAGGAACAGACGACCCCACCGGCGGAAGGTTCACAAAAGTAAACGGACCACTCTTAGTCGTCCCGTTTGACAAAAACGGTCCCGTAGAGCTATTTGCGCTGATCTGGTAACCGGTAATGACTAGTGGGCTCTGTCCGTCGTTTTGGATAGAAAATTGAAGATCCTTTCCGGAGATGTCTGCGCCGACGATCGACTCGCCGAACGATAGGACGTTGGGCTGGATGGTCAAGATTGGTGTCTGTGAGAGGGCAACACCACGGATACCGACGGGGGTGTTGGCGGCATATTGCTCGGTTCCGCCGTTGGTGGTGCGGATGTTGATGTTTGTACTGAGTGGTCCGACGGCCTGTGGTGTGAAGTTGGCACTGAAGATGAACGTCTCACCAGCTGCCATGGTCTTTGGGAGAGTATATCCAAATGCTTTGAAATTTGTTGAAATATCCAGGTCGATAGTGTTGATCGTCAGTGGAATCTTTGACTGGCAGGTAATGCTGACAGTGGAAGTATTCCCGATATTGACCGTTCCGGCATCATACGGCGACGAGCAGTTCAGCGGCATATTTACGGGGGATCCAAAGGCGGTTACATATCCGGTATGGCTCGTCAAGTACACCTTCCCGTCCCCAAATGTTGGTCTCGAGAATTTGACCTGCCCGACATTATTGAGCAACGCCAGAGTCGGCAAAATGCCATTCACCGGAACAGTGCCATAGGCTCTCAGATTTGATCCATCCACGTCCGAGATCCAGAGGATTCCCGAGCCAGGCTGTCCATTCAGCGAGGTGACCGAGGCATGCCCGACGCCTTGACGTCCTGCTGCGCTCTCCGTTGTGACACCGGCTTGTATGAAAACTGGCTCTCCAGCGCTGTTCTTGCCAAATTTAAAGGCGACGGTTTGGTGGCCGACGGGCGTAACGTAGACATATCCGCCGTCATGCGGCCACGATCCCGCAGTCGCAAAGACGGGTCCCGCCATCTCAATGACCTGTAACGCCTTATCCTTTCTATTGACACCCATCTGATATCCACCCAGATCATCCAAATTGAGGAAATACAGCTTCCCCGTCTTTCCCGCCACACACCCTATCCTCTTCACACTATCCGTCGAGAACACCTTTGGATCCAACAACGCAAACCCGGATGTGCCCAAGTCCTTATCCATTCCATCCAGATCTCTCTTCTCCCATGGCATGAAGAAATCCGTCGGTGTCAGAGTCCCATCACCGTTGATCGCCATATTGACAACCGCCTCTTCTAGCGATGTGGGCGGCTGTCTCCCAGGAACCGGGTCGTCCGCAAGCTGACTCGCATACCCGTTTCCGGTTGCAAAGAACATCCTCCCCGGATTATCACTCGCCAGCCCACCACCGGACATCCAGATGCCACCTCCGATGCCACTCTTCTCCGTGCCCCCCTCCATCGCGTACTTTGTCAACAGTCTCCCCTCCGTCGCATGCCATCCAATGACCCACCCCGTAAAGTTCCACTGCACACAATGCGATGCAAATCCCGCATATATATAGTCACCCACCTGGAGTAGCGCAGGCCGCTGGTGGTGTTTCCCGCCCTCAAACACCCTCCACGGCGCATTATCGGCCACAATGCCCTCCAGCGGGATGGGAAAATTCGGCTTACTCTCAAGCGTCATCACGTCCAGTGCATGGATGTAATAACGCCCTGCCGCGAGCCCCTGCGGAGTGTTGATGGTCTGGTCGACGTATGTCTTGGTCGTGACGTACCACACGCCGAGATCGGGGTCAATGACGCCCGTTGCGGTAGAGCCGACGCAGTCGGCGATGTCGTTGCAGCCTTCGAGGTCGGGGCTTACAAGGAAGGGAATCGCGAGCTGGCGGGAGGCGAGGATCTCGCCGGTGGTGGCGGAGAGACGGTAGGCGATGTTCATTTGCGAGATCACGTAGACGAATTGGCTTTGCCCGGAGGGCGTGAAGACGAGCGGTTGGGCATAGATCTCTATATGTGCGGAGTTAGGACGCAATTAAAAGCAGTGGATTATGATGGGAACTTACGTTCGGTAAAGCCGTTGTAGTTTCCGAGCAGCTTTTGCTTCCAGATTTGATTGAAGCTGCCGGATGAGACGACATTGGGGTCGAGGTTGTGGGTGCTTTGGTAGCCGCTGCGAGTGCTGTCTCCTGTAGTTCTCGCAATGTCAGTTTCGATCTGTATCTCCATATTCGGGGGAGATAACATGCCTCCGCTAGTGATTGTATCTGTTGGGTTTTTCGAAACCTTTTCCGCTACTGTTCCTTGGATGTTTATGAGCAGCAGTGCCACTGCAAGTGCTACCCATATCTTGGTAAACACCGCCATCACAGGATCAAGATTCTTCGAATTGAAAATGATGACTATAACTCCAGCAAATGCACTGTTAACCACAATTATTTTCTGCTGCACTCGGAGCTTACTTACCAACACTTCCCAGATGGATATGTTCCTTAAGCGTTCACTTGGAATCCTCCTCGACAAAGGGTCGAAGGATGATAGAGTTAACCAGGATTGAAAGACAAACAGCCAGCATTAAGTACCTAGCTACAAGCAATCCTTCCCTCCCTTTCCCTCCTTTCCCTCCCTTTCCCTCCTTATCCCTCCCCCTGCTTCTTCCTGCTTGGCAACTCGGAAGGCAAAAAAAAAGGTTCACGCCTGAAATCGTCCCATTGCATGGTTTTCCGGGTACCCGCGTCCATCTAGCCCCAACCTTCTTTTTCAGCTTTAACTCTATCTCGAGAGGGGTCCAGAATCGAGATAGATGTAAGGGGCAAGGCGCGAAGAGGTAGTTGTGGAGATTTGCGGGTCTATATACAGACATACATGCAATATAGAGTAGCTGCCTACTATATTGTGTTCTTTGTGTCACTAGCCAATGTGGCGATAGGACTGTACTTATCAGCAAGTCCATCGTTCCATGTGCGGTTGATGTGCTACCAGCTACTCAACTACCTAGCTGCTCGGGTAATGTTATATAATCCAAAGTAGCAGGTGTCTCCATTTCAGGCGGGAAAGATCGTGATGCGCACCGATAGATGTACCGTTTTGCATGTAGCTACAGACGATTCGTTACTGTACAGAGCAGGAGCTTAAATCGGTGGGGCCTAATTAAACGGGTCAATTACATAAATTAGATTGATCGATGCAGGGACTATAATTGTACTAACCTCTTCACAACGATAAAGCAAAAGGATATATATATCCACCCTTGAACACTTATATGTTAGTAGGGAAAGGAATAGACTTATTTCCTCCGCGGTCTTGTGTAACCCGTACCTGTTATCAGCAGCCACTTCGGTTCAGGTACAGCTACCGCATCCTAGAAAACACTCTTTCTGCGGAACAACCGTTAAAATCCTCGCTCTATCGTAACACGAGTTATTCGATAGAGTTCAGCGGTACCTTCCTTTTCTCCGTAGGAGGGGCTGAAAACCAGTATCCGGGATTGTTTCGCATGCTACCTTGGACCACAATCCATCTGGAGGGAGGGACAATCAAGTGCCGGGGGTGTAACTAACCGTTCGCATCGAGGACTTTGGTTGAACACATGTATGTACTTTGTCTACCTGGTACTGGTGTTAGTTCTAGCCTTGATATCGAACTGTGGCTAAGGCGATCACACCCGATAACGCCAGCTTACTTACCTGGATAACCCTTTCAATACTCACGCACAAAACGCAGGTCTGCTCGAACCCGCTGACGAGGTATTATAAGATAATAAAGAGCGTTTGCTTGCCTCTCTCTCCCGGCACCAAGTACCCATGCCACTGTCGCGTCGAGGCGTTTGGCGAAGGCACAGTCACAGCGGTGATCCTATGCAAGCATCCACCTTCCAACCTTAAGCTAATTAGATCTGGAACGATTTTTTAAAAATCTTCCGATAAATTACTTTTCCGCCTACTCGCAGGCCCAATGCATCGTTTTCGTCTAGGCTAGGGAAGTATCGATATCGATATCGGGTATTGGCTGCTACCCATGGCGGAAGGAAGGGAAATAGATTTGGCCTCAAGATTGTCAATCACGCTCTGTCGCTAACAGCACTCCTCTCTTGTTGGTAGAGAAGGACTACATGGATGCCCACGTCTGTGGAGGTTTAGTTAGGGAAGACCTCAGCCGCTTGATTAGCATGGGATATGACAATAAAGTCCTGGATATCGAGGATTGTAGGCTTGGTTGGTTGACAAGATCAGGGGCACTCAGTTTCTTGGACTTAGAATAGTCTACGTTGTAGTTGCATACATGCATGTCCTTAAGCGACCCTAACCCTCATGTGAACCATCTCCTCGAGCCAGCTGCACAAACTACATGTACTTATAACTATATCGCATACTCACCTCGATTTCCCGCCCACAAGACTCCCATATTAATATCTGACCAGATCAAGCGGGTCCCACTCCCGTTGCTGTACGTCTAGACCAGCGTGATACCCCTTCCGGAGATTTGTGTCTCTCCGTCAATGCAAAGAGGGACGTACAGTCGATCACCATAGTGACTGAATCGTCGCTGCATATAGCTATCAATCTAGGTATTCGGAAGGAAATATTAGACTAATTACTCTAGAAGGGTTTTGATAGGTAAAATTAATTGAGCGAAGGGTAAACAGAAGGTCTGTTCATATAAGAGTAGAGACTGATTGTGAATGCATTACTTCTCGCGGGTACATATAGTTATACATGTAGTTAATTACATGGACAGTCTGCAGTGATTGTGCTAGGAATGTGCATGTGGGGGCGTTGCTTGTTGCACATTACACACACTCCCGCCGAAGTTTTTACTCACGAGTTATCACTCGGCTATCGTGTCGACACCTGTCACTGCCGTCTCGACACGTGACTACATAACTGCTTGTTGGGCTCTTTGTCGACGAGGAAAGAATCAAGTCACTCCGCTGTCTCATCATCCTTTGCAATAAAACGACGAGTGCTGTTATCGGGTCGCTGTACATTCTTCGCCGTTGAAAAGAACATTACATACACTTTCACACCCAAGAACGTTCTCCGCACTACTAGTGATGCTGGCCACGAGACAAGATGTCTCGAGCTATTCTCTCGAGACATAATTATAACACCCCGTAATACAAATAGTTTGGAGGGACAACTATCTCGAGACAAGCCCTCTGGCTGACAGGAGTATCGGCACCAATCAGGTTACCGGAAAATAGAGCTCGCACTGGTTTCGCAAAGCCCCCTCTGAAGGAGAGCCTGATTTCTTGTCTAGAGAGAGTTATGTACGTAGTAGTACGAACTACGATTATCTCGAAAGACCCTCAAGACCTTTTCTTTCATCGGCGGTCCAAGACACAACAACTGGCAATTTGATCTTCTCTTGTCTTCGTGGCCATCACTACCATCACTGCCGGCCCCTCATTCCCGCCCCCTCAGATCCAACCCCTTTATACTGAGCTTAAACACATCTCCTCTAGAATAATGCCCGCCGAAACCCACATCCATGTCCATCTTCGCACGCACCACCTCCTGCTCCAAGTTCTTAATATTATGCACCAGCAGGCCCTCCTTGCCCACAATCGGCCCCTGCAGTACATTCCCCATTGGATCCACAATAGCACTCCCGCCTGACGAGAGAATCTCCGGCGTGGTATCGATATTCTGAACGTCGACATATTGATCTACGAACGGTGGGAGTGTAGTTGTGTCCACATACTGATTGCAGGTGAGCACGAAGCACCGTCCTTCCATTGCGATGTGGCGCATAGTGTACATCCACGACTCTCGGGCGTCAGCAGTGGGCGCGAGGTATATTGATACGCCTTGGGCATAGAGTGATGCGCGGAGAAGTGGCATGCTGGATTTGATTGTGGTCAGAGACCGCTCCTACGCCAATGCTTGATAGATAGGGAACTTACTAATTCTCCCAGCAGATTGCCGCCCCCAGCGTCACCTTCTCGGCACATAACGTTGCATCCACGGCCTTCAACGTTTTCGGCGATCCCACCCCCCAAACCACCCTCTCCGCACCTGTCTAACAAACAATCAACAACCAGACACATACGATTCCAATACAGGACCTACCGGCATAACCTTCCTCCTCTTCCCCACCACTCCCCTCTCTGGATCCACAAACACACACGCACAATACAAGCTCCCCCCACACTTCTCCACCACCCCCACTACCAAAAACACCATCGACTCCCTCGCCACCTTCTCTAACCTCTCCCTGGTCCCATCCCCCGCCCCCTCCCGATACACGCCTGTCCCATCGGGACACGAGTCCCCCAGGTCCACACACTGCTTCCAGTACTCATAATACTGATCCCTCCCGTGCTCGCTGCGCGAGCCCACTGCGACCCCGAAATTGCACGTTCGCGGATACCCCCCCAGGAAGGCCTCGGGGAAGAGAAGGAGATCTACTACCTGCTCGGTGGCGCTCTTCGTTATGCCCTCGAGGAGATCCAGAGTCTTGGCGAGGGTTTCGCACGTGGCGTATTGGGCAACTGCGACCTTCATTGTGCAGCGGGTGTCGTGATGTATGCTAGAGCCAGTGCCTAAGATACCGATCAATTCTGGCTTGTACGTGATTGGGGGTTCAGGTGGGGTCGGGGTCGGGTCGGGGGGGTTGTAGTAGTAGTGAGTGTGGGGAAGCAGGGATACCCGAGGTTTGCTCCCCGCCCCCGCTCCCGCCGCGGGATAGACTAGATCTACATACCGATAAGCGCACCTCCGAGGGGATTGATCAGCTTCTGCTGGGGATCCGGAAGAATTAACCAATCCGAGCCAAGACCTGGACATTAAAACAATACAATACGGACAACCTTTTTTATTCCTCTCCTTGCAGTCGCACTCATAACAACACCCCGGGTGGAACGACTGCCCCAACCCGGATATGTGCGGCCCGCAAATGGCTGTCTCGATAGACACCCTATATACTCACGCATTAATTAAGTCCTGAGAATTCTTGGTAGCAACGACCTCAGAAATTTTCTCAGGACTTGATTAACGCGCGAGTATAACACTAGGACAGAAGTTTTGGTAATATACCCTTTTTACAGCCAAAGTAGCTATGTTTGGCTACCCGAAACAACCACCCAACTTCATCAAAAAAATTCCAACTCTTCAAGGATAGTTGGAAATTATATCAAGATGGAGCTCAGGAAATTCTAGAATTTTGAGTCCATTCTTCAGGCATGTGCAATCTAATTTTTAAAGTCATGATTTGAGTGTTTCTGATTTTGTATGGTGTTCCCATACAAATTTTGTGTTGCAACGGCAACCAATAGTTACCAAAACTTCTGTACAATCCACCGATTACTCGACATACAGATTGGGTAGGGTTATATTACGGCCCCACCCCCGCTTGTATCATTGTCTATCACTCGGAATCGAGTGTTTTCGAAAAAAGAACTACTCTTGATATCGACGACGGAATAGCGCAGAGGCTTTTCTATAAAAATAAACCTAGCTATGATATAGTGACAGGAGCGATCGGTGAAACCCTATTTTCATGTTCGCATACAACTTAGGCCCTGTTCGGACGGACGTGGTATTCAATACTGTGGTAAATTCGGCTACATGGTATCATACTCTGAGATAAAACCAAGTATTCGCTAAAGACAAAAGTGTTCGGATGGAGTTGAGATTACTGTTGGGTTAAGGCACCGTATTTGTGGCGTATTCATGGTATCAAAAGGAATAACTTGGGCCATCCGAACACTCAAATACTACACTGACTTACACCTTCCTACACGGGGTGAACACCATGGTATTGACGTCCGTCCGGACAGAGCCTTATGTTCCCACTTAGCAACATTCCCGCCAGCGGAACTTCACCACAAAGACCCTGGTATTTCTATCACCGCCGCCGAGCGCATACGCCAGGCAATACACAGGCCGGAGGAGCAAAAGATGATTGCGCCCGGGCTCGAACCGGGGACCACTTGCGTGTGAGGCAAGTGTGATAACCAACTACACCACGCAACCAATGAGATGGTGTTTCAGCTGTTTATTGCACTTGTGAATGTTTGCTGGGGTTTACGGGTTACGTAAGATGTAGGGGAGGGAGTGTAGGGGTGGGGATTATGTAAGATGCGCAGGGTTCGACATGGGTGGAGAGGTCTCGGGCGAGAGTCGTGAGGAAATAGAGTATCACGATGTGGCCGAAGCTAGTAGAGGTCAGCTTTGAGGAGTGGAAGGCAATGTGGCTGGTGATACGTCACGGAGTGGATGCAAGGCGGTTTTCATGATTGGATACGATACATTTGGACTCGACCATTGGTTGCGTAGAACGATATTCTTTTTTATCTTGCATTCTATTTAGACAAAAACCGCAAGATGTGTATCCTACATACTCATACTTGTATCAAGGACAGAATATAGGAGCGCGCAATATACAGAGAATCACGAGAACATCCGTCGCTCTCGATCTGTTCCACTTGGGATATTTATCTGACGGTATCATAGAATAATTTCACTACATATCCTCTTTCTATGCAGCTCTTACTATGAAGAAATCTGCGGCATATATATCTTTACTTCTCAGTCTCTCGTCCATTGTATAGGGCTCCATTTCTCGGTGTTGAGGTTTAATTCTTGCGGCGGAGATCAGTTGGGAGAGAAAAGGACTTGGTCTGTTTTTGCGATTCACAACCTTTTGCCGAAAAAACCGTGGTGGTTGATATCATATGAACGGTTAAGTAAGTGGTAATATGCACCGCTACGTGTATGTACGACGTACCTTTTGGGCTGATTTCGCGTCAATGCTACGCCGTTGATTGATAGATATAGTAATACTCTAAGTTAGGTTTTATGTAGCTCCTGAACGCCGCATGGTGAGCTACACACGAATCACTACAAGTCCTGAATACGGAGGAAGGGATATATTCTAGACACTACTTTTCTATACGCTCGGATCTATTTTACATGAGCTGTGAATGTTCTTGCGAGAAGTCTTGGCAAGTTTCATCTAAAATCACAAATCACACCTATACTAGGTCACCTAACTCCTGTCATAACTGTTCCTCAGGTGTAAAATTTGCATTTTGAGATCCCTAGCATGCATACTTTCTATCTGTCCTCGCGATATCCAGAACATCTAGCGGTGTTATTGCATTTCGGGCAAATATCACATTTTGGTCAATTTTGTTGCCGTATGTTGACTTGAACAAGAACTATCGTGCCGGAAAGGTTGGTAAAATTACAGCCGGGTCCATCAGAATATTTTTGACTGCGGTGGTGATACATGCAGCTTTTTTTACAGTATTCTTGCAGCATGTGAGTTAATTACTTAGTACATGTATGTATTCTCACCCGATGCCGCATCACATCACTAACGGTGCGAATTACATCGCATTTTTTTGTATTGTACTTTACATTTAGTATTCATTCTCAATCATTCATAACGATTCTATGCCCCTTAATGCTGCATTGTACTGTTGTTATAAAATATCCACTTTAAATGCTTACATATTATATCCCAAGCCAGCGATACCCCTTAGAGGCGCCTGTGCGAAAGTAATTGTATGCGTCTGTCGTACCATCTAAACACACGCTCTTAGTAATCCAAACCGTGTCCACAAAGTACTCCCCCAAAGCCGGTGTTTCTCCGACCAATCACTCATCATCTCTCTCTCCACCTTCACCCTTGCTTGTGCAGCTGCTATATACCCATATTTCGCCGGGGGCAGCTAGCATCGTCTCTCCAGGAGCCAGAGAAATCTCGGGAGGTACCGCAAGCTGCGGTCGTGGGAATAAACAAGCCTCTCGGAGGTTTCTAGGGGTCATCGCCGAGCCTTTTGAAAACAGGGCCTGGTGAAGGAACCCTAACCCTGGGGATAGGCGAGTGAGGAGAGGTGATTTTGTGGATTTGGTTTGCAGTATGTACTCAATGATTCTCTTCAAAGATACTGAGCGAGCTTAGTTTGTTTTATGACTCACAGGCGGGTATTGTGTCGCGACTAATAGCCGATTGTGTATAGTTACTCGATTTCATCGCTGCATTCTAAGGTATTATTTGTTCACGAAACGACAAGCCTTTCTTGCGTTTTTCGTATCGATCGGCTTAAACATCAAGATCTACCGCATGTCAATATTTACAGAATTCGGGGAATTGGTCCACCGAAGGCTTGAGAGCGACATTTACGTTCCTGATTACGAGGCGAGAAGAGGTTTCCGTTTGTGTTGTCCATTTCAAGGCATGCCCAATATATATCTGAAAGCGAATATCTGGTTGACGTGAAATACCCGTTGGCTGACGTGACAGAATGTTGCAGAGTTATATGACCCTGGCCAATTTGCAGCGGAAGAGAAGCCCCCAGATCCGCTGCGCTTCGGGTCAAAGTAGGACAAGACCGGTGGATGTTTCAAGAACAACGTATTGCGAAATGCTTGTCGCTGAAGATGACATTTTGAGGGGGGGGTAAATTAAAGTACATACCAGTTTCCCTCCCAAAACTGTGCTTCCCGGAAGCTCGGCATCTATTCGTGGGGGATTTCCAAGGGTCTTTGTTTTAGCCAAGACCTCGATATTAGCACAATAGGTACAGACATACGTACCCCGCAAAACTCTCCGCGCACGGAGAAAAGAGTAATGAAGCTCTATTTGGCTTAGAATTACTCGCTCATATACCTGCATGATGTCTATATAGGCTGAGATTACTGATTGTCGAGTTCCTCTCGGCCCTCTCGTCTACCATATTGATTACACGGGTGTGATCTTCACCCCGACTCTCTGGCAAGGGACAACAACAGGATCCGGTTTTGCAGATATTAGGTAGCCCCATATCATATGTCGGCCTATCATGGCGTGAACTCCGACCCAGGCCGCGACGCTCGAATTCTTGTTCTATATTGATGGATCTCGATCAAGGTCCCAGGGTAACATTGTTGTTGCCTATAATTCTGAAACTACCGGGTCCGGATCATTGGCGTGATGGCTACACATTGAGAGAAACTACAGAATAGCAGTTGAAACGATACACCGACTTCGTTAAGGGGATACTACACTCGTACCGTTCAATATTTGGCGGACGGGTGCTATGCAGCACGAGGTGCGCAAGATTTGTTCGGGGTACGGGTGAAAAGCTTCTCGTCTGCAGTTGCACGAAAAGCAATTTAAGCTCGCCGCCAATGCTGCATGAGATCTTGAATCCCCGTATTTGCTATAATAAATGTGCTCACTATGGCTAGAAAACCGGAAACACGACAAAGATCGACACCAACCCCCGCACGTAGAGGGTCCTTTGATAGGCAGGCACATTGCGCTGCGACACCTACTCTACTGCCAAGGCATGTGAAAATCTCCCCGTTTTCAGAAGGCTTGTAAGAATCTCTCGGCGACCAGGGCCGACTCTGAAGCTCTGCAGACCCAGACCCCCGGAATTTCTTTCCTCAATACTTCCCGCATGGCGTTGCTTAATACCGAAAAGTGTCAAGATCTGCGTATGGCTCCTCTCGTGGCATGGTTATTTGTATATCTCTTTCAGGACAGCTCCAAATTCGTACTTGGGATCGGC